GGGGGGGGCACGTTCTGGCGGGTTTCTCTTTCATCTGTGCGGCCCGACAATGCACCCAGCAATTTGCTGCCAGACATCCCCTGGAAAAAGAAAAAGCCTTTTTCTGTTGAGGTTAATGGCCTGGCCCAGATCAACGGCAGCGTGTGGGTGTCCCTGGATGTGAAGGCCCCCGAAAGCCCACTAGGTGCCCCAACCTGGGGCAGCAGGGCCCCCACGTGTCGCCCCACCATGTCACCCTGCAGTGCCCTGATAACCTCTTCTCCTTGCTGCTCCTGAACTACACAGCTCTGAGCACAGAAACAGGCTGTCAGGCAAACCCATCACTAGAGCGAAGGCCCCTTTTCCACAGCACGCTTCCGGGGGCCCAGTACAATGCCCCAAATTGCCAGTTCAGACTCCGCTCGTTAGCCCTTAAGTACCCGCCGTCTGGGCTCATTTCTAGGAAGCGCTCAGCATCATCTTCAGAGAATCAGTTCCTGGAATTGGGCCCACAGCGCACAAGCATCTCCCCACAAAGGTCGGGGCAGACGCTTAGCTCCTGGGGGCTTCCCAGGCCTCCAAGTGAGGAGCTGGGAGGACCCTGCACAGAAAAAAAAAAAGGTCCCCTCGTTACAAGGACTGAGGAAGGGTCTTAGTATCCTGGTTGCCGATACTTAACCTCTGAAGGCAAAACTCGCAGTCCCTTGTTAATTTCCCTCAGCTTTTATAACCTTTTCCGGTGTTTTCAACTTCTCCCTCCTCAGAAAACTGTACTAGGGGCCTGTTTTAAAACTGTTATTTGTGGGCTTCCCTGGTGGCGCCGTGGCTGAGAGTCCGCCTGCTGATACAGGGAACACGGGTTCGTGCCCCGGTCCGGGAAGGTCCCACGTGCCGCGGAGCGGCTGGGCCCGTGAGCCATGGCCGCTGAGCCTGCGCGTCCGGAGCCTGTGCTCCGCAACGGGAGAGGCCACAGCGGTGAGAGGCCCGCGTACCGGGGGAAAAAAACAAAACAAAACAAAACTGTATTTGTGCACTGTATTTGTGCATTTTAAAGCATCCAAAAGAAAAGCTGTGTTGTCAAAAGCTACCTAATCAGATGCCTGCTCACAAGTTTTTCTTTTTATTACAGTTTAGGGAATTTGTGGAGCAACCCCAGAAAAGTGCTGAATCAGCCTAAAATTCCTTTAAGGTTGTTTTCCCCCCTCCCCTTCCCAATTTCCCTTAAAGCATAAAATCTACCCTATAAAAGCAAAGCGGGAGGCCGCGTGGAGAAGGAGGAGGATTCTGCCTCATGTTTGCACTTGCATTAGGGAAGACCACTTCACAAGGAGCTCCATGCCTCGTACAAAGAGTTATTTAATTACCCTGGTCGTCAATGAACAGACCAGACCCTCCCAGAAGACCAGAGGCTCATGAATGAATCTCATGCCTGGGATCGCAATAGCACACAGGGTGACCAGACCCTCAAGGCCTAGGTAAGAGAGGAACTTCCCCCTTTAAAAATTTTTGATTTGAAGGTGTAGGACATGAAGAAGAAAAAAACTGGAGGGAGGGGCTCCCCTGGTGGCGCCGTGGTTGAGAGTCCGCCTGCCGATGCAGGGGACGCGGGTTCGTGCCCTGGTCCGGGAAGATCCCACATGCCGCGGAGCGGCTGGGCCCGTGGGCCACGGCCGCTGAGCCTGCACTCCGCAACGGGAGAGGCCACAACAGTGAGAGGCCCGCGTACCGCAAAAAAAAAAAAAAAAAAAAAAAAAACTGGAGGGAGGGAGGAAAGGCCAAGTTCAGTGCCTCGATGGTACCATGTCCGGTCTCCAATTTAGGAAGTTGACCATGAGGCCAGAGAGGCAGAACTGTTCCAAAACACCCAGTGGGATTCTGAGAACGCTTGAAGTGAGGCCATCTCACCCTAGCTGTGTCCACACACAGAGGCGGTGCTGATGGGACAGGGGTGGGGGGGTCCCCAAGTTTCTGACTTTTCAGGACAGGGACATTACTTGGGAATCGAAGCAGCACAGAGAAAGCCACAGAAGCAGGCACCCGCTGAGTCCAACGTGCCCACTGCCAGGGCAACCAGGGGGCTGGAATAAAAGGCGGGCGGGTGTGTGTTCGGGGGGGTGTCTCAACCCACTCTCATCTCCGCGAGGCACTTGGATTATAAAGGGATTATTTCTCTTATTCAATATTCTGGTT